GTTATGATATTAGTCATATTTAATTTTTAAACTCAACAAATTAGCAGTTTATGGTCCCCGATTAATCATCTGATTAATTCTTGCCTAGCCAATTAATCATTTAACCCCTATCTGCCCACTAGCTAACATCGATCATTTTCTACAACATTGGTTAAAAGTGAGAGGGTAGGTTGGATGTGTTAGTAGGAGGTAGGTTGAGGATTGAAGTTTTTTTTCCTTTTAATCAGAAAAAACATTAAAGTAATTAAAAAATAAAATATATATATATCAAGGGAAAAATCATCATTATAAAAAAGTTCAAAAAAAGTTGGACCAAACTCGCAACAAAATGAAAAGTTTGGATCTCTGGTGCTAATCCAAACCTTTTTGGACCAAAATAACAATTTCCAGCTAATCAGAAGGACCGTTTTTGCAGTTATTGTTGGATTATGGTATCTAAGTCAGTAACTAAATTAATATATTCTTGTAATTAGAAGCAAAGTGTAAGGTCAAACCTTGAAATATGATGATGTTTCAAATAGATCTCAGTATCAGCATCAACGTGTCAACATCTCAGCTTGTTTAGTTTAGTCAGTGCATTGTAACAGATTTTATACTTATCGTGTTTCCATAGTTAGTTTAAATTTGTTAGCTGGCATATCCCTGGTTTGTAGGGATTGTCTAGTATAGTAGTATATAATCTTTTGTATCGGTTTGTGAAACGCTACGCCTTTCACAAACCCTAATCGCTGCTTTGTGCACACGATAATCTCTTTGTGAGATTATCTTTCTTAGTGAAAGTTTTTCTTCGTGAATTCTTCTTATTCTTATTTACTATTATTGTTTGATAAATTGATTGATCTAAAGGCCTTTTCAATTGGTATCAGAGCAGGTTTCTTTATCAAACAAATGGCTTCATCTTCTTCTTCGTCGAACTCATCAAATCATCCTTCCGCAAAAATTCCTCCGTTTGATGAAACAAATTTTGCCATGTGGAAAATAAAGGCTCTATATGCTTTAGAGTCATTAGATGAAGACATGTTGGACATCGTCGAAAATGGTCCATACGTCCCGATGTATCAACCTCTGAAAAATAACGTTCCTGATGGTGCTATGAAGAAAACACCTAAAGAAAACTGGACGGCAGATGACAAAAGAAAACATGGTCTAGATGTTCGTGCTCATGCTGCAATCAGCTACGCTCTACCATATAATATCTTTGGGTTGGTTCAGAATTGCATCTCAGCAAAAGAGATGATGGATACTCTGACTTTGTCGTTTGAAGGCACTGAAGAAGTCAAGGCCACTCAAATAAATGATCTTAACAGAAGGTATGAGCATTTTTTTTCAAAGAAAGGTGAAACTTTGACTCAAACCTTTAACATATTCAATACTCTTGTTAATGATTTGCGGAGATTAGATCAGTTGAAGCATAGAACTGTTCTAGTGCAGAAGTTTTTGGATTCTCTGGGTGCAGGTTGGGAGAACCATGTTGATGTGCTGAAAAATAGTGAGAAGATCAATACTATGGACTTACAAAGTCTCTATGAAAATCTTCGATACTATGAGGAATCCAAGCTTCAAAGAAAGGAGCTGATGAAGGATTCTCAGCGTGAATCATCTGTAGCTTTGTTCTCAAACAAAAAGCTAGTGTCAGATTCAGACACTGAAAGCTATTCAGATACTGATTCCTCTAAAACTGACACTGATGATCTTGAAAAGGTTGTGGCTAGTGCAGCTTTGATTGTAAAGACTTTTGAGAAATCAGGCCGAAACTTGTCAAAGTTTCAGAAGAAGATGTGAGGAAAGTTTTCAAAAGGATCAGATGCTGATAAAAGGCATGGTGCTGATAAGAAAGGGAAGGCTCAGTGCTTTAAATGTGTGAGCACTGATCATTTTGCAAAGGAATGTAAACAAAAAAACAAGGCCCGGATGAATACTGGAAGCAGAAGTACAACAAGTTGATTGAGAAAATGAAAGCAGAAAACTTGGAACATAAAGTTCTTGTTACTGAATAAGAAAATTGGAAGACTGATGAGGAGTCATCAGATGATGAAGTCAAGTGTCTAATGGTAAAGATAAAAGACACGGATGTTCCTGAAAAAGGCACAAGTACATTTGATGCTGATATGTCTGATGCAGTTGAAAAATCCAAGAAGCACAACACTGACTCTCCTTCAATGTATCAGGTTAAAAACTTTGTTTCCTATTTAATGAATGAAAAAATCAAAATGTTTGAGTATTTGGGTGTCATTAATTCTAAGAAGAATCAAACAATAAAGGACTTGCAAAATCAACTTGATCTTCTTAAAACTGAAATATCCATGAAAAATAACCTTATTGATTCCACTCAGGAAAATCTTAGAATCACTAGTTTGTCAAATTCATCTTTGTCTGCTGAAATTGATAATGTTAAAGATCTTTTGATCAAAGAACAAACTGTGCTTCATACTTGGGCAAAATCTCACAAGAATGCAAATTATATTATTTCTACTCAAGTTCCACACTCATGTGAGAAAATTCTTGGGGGTAATTTTGCAGAAGCTGAAAAAGTTTTTAAATCACAAGAAAAGGAATCTGAATTTCATTCCATGAATGAGATGAAAAACAATTTCAAAAATAAGTTTGTCAGTAACTCTTTTATTAATCAGAGTTTAATTGATGAATACTGTGTTACTAACTCTAATGGTGTTACTAAGTGTAATGTTGAAATTACCGGAGTTGACCCAACCTCTTACCCTGCACATCTTGTAAGACCAACTCCTCTCACTGAGAATATTATTGCTTTTCCTATCTCAAATGGAGTGTTTCATGCTGTTCATGAACAACTTAAGCATTTTCCTGATTGCAATGCAATTGTGAATAAGTCCAAATCAGACACTGATGATAGCTCATCGTCTATCACTGATCATAGTTTGTCTGACACTGAATTCTGTTGTGATTCAATAATAAACAAAAGGACACAAAGCTCTCTTGGTGAATCTTACAAGTCGAAAAGTGTTAAGTCCAAAAAATTGCCTACCAAGAGGAACTTTGGTACTAGAGTTTGTTACAGATGTGGTGATACCTCTCATAAGATTAGTGAATGTTCATTTGATAAATCATATTTAAGAGCTGATAATATTAAAGTTAGAAATGAAAAATGGACTCTTAAGTCAAATTCTTTAAACTGTCTTCCTAAGGAGTGTTATAATCTATTATCAAATAACTTTGTGAATGACCCATCCTCGAATGGGTCAGTATGTTCTAACTAGTTTCTCAGCACTGCAGGGTTAGGAGCATCTTTGGTACTTAGATAGTGGTTGCTCAAGACATATGACAGGATCAAAGTCTCTCCTGCAAGATTATGTCAAGAAAACTGGTCCTGCAGTAACTTATGGAGACAATGGAAAGGGGTTCACTAAAGGATATGGAAATATCAAATGCAATTACGTGTTTTTTCAAAATGTTTCATATGTAAAGGGTCTCAAACACAACCTTATCTCCATCAGTCAATTGTGTGATGCTGACTATGAAGTTCACTTTACAAAGAAGGAAGGTAGAGTTGTGAACACTAACAAGAACATTGTACTTTCAGCAAGTAGAAAAGATGATATATATGTTCTTGATATGTTCTCAAGTGACAAGGCGCTGATGCAATGCTTCTTTACAAAGTCTCAGACCAATCTTAGCTGGAGTTGGCACAAAAGGTTCTCTCATCTGAACTTCAAGAACCTATACAAAATATCCAATCAAGATCTAGTTAGAGGGCTCCCAAAATTCAGCGTTGTGAAAGACAAGATGTGCTCAGCTTGTGAACAAGGAAAACAAACCAAGTCCTCTTTCAAACCCAAGTCATGTTCCAGTATATCAGTCCCTCTTCATTTACTCCACATGGACTTATTTGGACCTATTCCTGTCCGTTCTCTAGGTGGAAATAAGTATACTCTAGTGGTTGTGGATTAGTTCACTCGATTTACATGGGTGGTCTTCCTGAAGAAGAAAAGTCATGCTGCACAGGAAATTATCTCACTGATTCGCAAAAATGAGACACTGACAGGTCTCAAAGTTAAACAACTGAGAAGTGATCATGGTACCGAGTTCCGAAACTCAACTCTTGAAGAATTTTGTGATCATAAAGGCATTGGGAAAAACTTCTCAGCTCCTCATACTCCTCAACAAAATGGAGTTGTTGAACGAAGAAATAGAACACTGATTGAAGCAGGAAGGACCCTAATGATTCATGCTGGTCTTCCCATGTCATTTTGGGCTGAAGCTGTCAATACAGCGTGCTTTACTCAAAATCGATCTTTAATTCACAGGATTCATAAGAAAACACCATATGAAATGCTGAAAAGTCGAAAGCCAGACGTATCCTTCTTTCACGTGTTCGGATGTATTTGTTATATTCTAAATCAGCGTGACCCAAGATCTAAATTTGAACCTAAAGATGATAAAGGTATTTTTGTTGGATACTCATCTATTTCAAAGGCTTTTCGTGTTTTTCATATGAACAGGCAATGCATTGAAGAATCAATTCATGTGAAGTTTGATGAGGAATCATACGCTGATGAAAGAGTCACTCATTCTTCCTCTATTTTTCAAGAGCTTCTCTCTTGCCCATTTAACGAAGCTCCTCTTGCTGGAGATGAAGCTGATATTTCTGATTCTATCGTTCCAGTTCCATGGTCCTTGAATCAAGATACTGCAGCCAGATCATCAAATAATTCATCAGGTGCTGATGAAACTCTTGAAGCTGAAGATTCTCCTACAACTGATAACTTGTCAGTGTCAAATTCTCCGGAATCATCATCAGTCTCTGAACATCGATATCATCCTGTTGATCAAATTATTGGGAATATTCATGATGGTGTCCGAACCAAATCTCGTGTTTCTAATAACTTTTGCATGTATGTTAATTTCGTTTCAATGATCTTACCTGACAAGATACACACAGCTCTTCAAGATGCTGACTGGATTAAAGCCATGCAAGAAGAACTGAATGAGTTTGAAAGGCACAAAGTTTGGACTCTTGTCCCAAGACCATCAAGAAAGACCATCACCGGAACTCGCTGGGTCTATCGCAACAAGGTTGATAAAGATGGAATCATTACTCGAAACAAGGCAAGGCTTGTCGCTCAAGGGTTTACTCAAATTGAATCCATCGACTACGGAGAAACCTTTGCTCAAGTTGCTCGCATTGAAGCGATCAGACTGTTTCTCGCATACGCATCCTACATGAATTTCATTGTCTATCAGATGGATGTGAAAACAGCCTTTCTTCATGGTGTGTTAGAAGAAGAAGTTTTCCTCAATCAGCCCCCAGGATTTGTTGACAAAGATCACCCTGATTATGTGTACTGATTAGACAAAGCTGTTTATGGACTGAAGCAAGCACCCAGGGCTTGGTATGAGACGCTGACATCGTATCTTCTTGAAAATGGATACAGACGAGGAGCAATCAACAATACTCTCTTCATCAAAAACAAAGGCTTAGACATGGTTCTTGTTCAAATCTATGTCGATGACATCATTTTTGGCTCTCCAAATGAGACACTGAGCAAGGAATTTGCAGAGATAATGTCTCAAAGGTTCGAAATGAGCATGATGGGAAAGATGACCTTTTTCTTAGGTCTTGAAGTTCAACAACAAAAGTCAGGTATTTCTATTTGTCAAAGTAAATATATTTCTGACTTGCTTGTTAAGTATTATCTCAGTGACTGCAAACCAGCCTCTACTCTAGTTTCTAAGACTGACAAGATTCACGATGATCCAACTGGAACTGATGTCAATCACTCTCTGTATCGAGGAATGATTGGATCTCTTTTATATCTAATGGAAATTCATCCTGACATCATGTTTGGAACCATTCTCTGTGCTCGATTCCAAGCTAATCCCAAGGAATCCCATCTCATGGCCGTCAAACGTATCTTTCGATATTTAAAATGAACTCAAAATCTGGCACTGTGGTATCCTCGCAACTCAGCATTCGAAATCTTTGGATACACTGATTCAGACTATGCAGGATGCAACTTAGACAAAAAAAAAGTACGTCTGGTGGATGTCACTTCCTTGGAAATCGTCTCATCAGCTGGTCTAGCAAGAAGCAAACATCAGTAGCCATCTTGACTGCAGAAGCTGAGTATGTTGCAGCTGGGAGATGTTGTGCTCAGCTCTCATGGATTCAAAATCAGCTTCTCGACTATGGGATCAAGTTCTCAAAGACTCCCATATATTGTGATAACACCAGTGCCATTCAAATCACACAAAACCCTATTCAACACTCAAAAACGAAGCATATCGAAATCAGACATCATTTCATCAGAGATAACGTTGAGAAAGGAAAGATTGCTCTTGAACATGTCAAGACTTCAGAGCAACTTGCTGATATCTTCACTAAGGCACTGGATTCTCAAACAACTGCTTACATTATTGGAGAACTTGGAATGATTACCTTGTAATTAATTTTGCTAATGTTTGGTATTGTCTTATAAGCTGATGTCCATTTTGCTGATGATGACATGCTGATGATATTTGCATACTAAGTACGTGGTTTGATCTCCTATCTTTCTCTCTTCTTCAACTCTTCTTAACTAAAGTTGAATGATTCACTGTATTAAACCATACACTGATAACAACTTGAAACTCTTTGCCGATGGTTAGATCGAAACACCAAGATCTATCACACGCAACTATCTCTTCTTACCAATCTTACACTGATTCCATGATTCAGTGTGACAAAACACACACTGATGAGAATCTAAAAATCTTTGCCGATGGTAAGATCAAAACACCAAGATCTATCACACGCAACTATCTCTTCTTACCAATCTTACACTGATTCCGTGATTCAGTGTGACAAAACACACACTGATGAGAATCTAAAAATCTTTGCCGATGGTTAGATCAAAACACCAAGATCTATCACACATAACTATCTCTTCTTACCAATCTTACACTGATTCCGTGATTCAGTGTGACAAAACACACACTGATGAGAATCTAAAAATCTTTGCCGATGGTTAGACCAAAACACCAAGGTTTATCACACGCAACTATCCTTCCTTTACCTTCTTCTCATTCAGTGTCTAATGATTCAGTAAGATAAACCTCTCACTGATAAAGACACAACACTCTGTTAGATAATGCAACTAGTATCTATCACACGCACCAATCTCCTTGCTAGCCCCAACCGAGCAAGTTGTACCTTGAATTGACGGAGAGATATCCTCAGCATGTAACTTTTGTGACACTGATCTTAGCGCTTCCGCAAACACTGATTGACGTTTCATCTTCAGTCAACGACTCTTTTACTCAACGGCTATTTTTTGATTTGACAGGTTGTTACGATACGTCGTTATTTTTGAAGAAGATAATCATTACCTTTTCTAAAAGATCCGTTTCATTCCATATTTAAACCTCTTTCGCCCTTATTTCAAACTTTCCTTCCACAATCTACACTTCCTTCACTTATATTCAAAACCCTAGCACCCTAAAAAAACTCTCTAATGGCGGCATCTCTGTTCACTTTCTCCTCTACTTCACGAAGGGTAGTTCCTGCCCCAAACTCTCCTCCTCTTCCTATATACATCAAAGCCACCAACATTGTTTTCAACCCTGATATTCCCGATGTTCATCGAGGTCTTGGACTCGGTGATTTTGTTAATTTCTTAGCCTCCTGCCGCCTACGATATGCTATCAGTGACATTCCATCAGAGTTCTTCCCTGAACAAGTCTGTGAGTTCTACTACACCGCAACAGTCAATGATGAAAACAATGTCATCACCGGGACCATTGGTCGTGGAAGACACTCTGTCTTTATTACAGTAGAACTTCTCAGTGCTGCACTCAGGTTACCTATCTTTGAACCATTCTCTGAACTTCCTTCTATTGACCGTTGTCGACGTCTATTCGATCAACTGGGATATGATCACTCAAAGGCTGGTGCTCAATCAGCTCTTGTTCTGCGCCAATGTATGACCCCAGGATGGAAGTTCTTCACTGGTGCTTTGTGCAAATGTGTGGGTCATAAGTCTCGAAGTGGTGATCAACTGAGCACCTATGAGCAACAAATCGTCTGCTCACTGCTTCTCAACAAAAGACTTGACTATGGGTCCTTTTTCTTTGATCAACTTGTTCAGCTTCTTCATGCAAATGTACGCGCTGATCACGTTCCCTTCCCACGCTGGATTGCTCTCGTGCTCGATAAATTCTTTGCTGTAGATTACTTCTCGCACTATGGAAATCCTATTCAATGCCCTCGCATGTCAATTCGAATGTATCAAGATGATCTGCTGGTTACTGACATCGGAATATCTGACAGGATGCGGGAATGGATTGCAAACCCATACACTGTTCCTTCACTCACCGCTGATATTGATGAAGGAGGAGCTGATGGTAACAATGAAGATCCTGCTGGTCAAGAGGATGAAGCATATGATGTTGGTCATTTCTCCCCTCAACTTTCTCATCATATCGTCTCTGTTACTGAGAAAGTTCACTCAGCTCAAAAGGATTCACTGATTCCGGGGGAGCAACAATTTCAGGGGGAGCAACAATCTCAGGGGGAGCATCCCTCACAGGGGGAGAATCCACCCCAAGGAGACCACTCTTCTCCAGGGATGCCACCACACTCACACGCAGCTCCAGGTGCTTTATTCGTTCAAATTCCGGCCTCAGCATTTAATGAACTTCTGACACTGACTCGGGACATGAGTCAGCGTCTTCTACACATTGAGGCTGATGTTCATCAGCTTAAGGAAGTTCTCTTGCATACTCCTTCCTCCAGCCCTCAATCTGATGATGCTCAAAAAGGGGGAGATGCTGATACTGATGATGATGATGATGATGCTGCTGATGATGATAATGCTGATCGTGATAATGATGATGAAAATCCAAAAGAGAAAGACACCGAACATGCTGATAACTCCTTAGTTCAAACTGAGCCACCAAAGCAGATGCCCGAGTCTGACTTTGTGAAGCCTAATAGTCCTGCAGATACTGAAAAGCGTGTTGAAGACAGTGAGCATGATGATGAACAAGATGATGAATGTCAAATACTGGATATGAACTTCATTGATCCCTTTATTCCAATTCAAGAAGAAGATTCAGATGATCTTGATAATGAATCGCAAAGGCCATACATAAAAGTCGTTGATCCCACTGTTGATCCCATTATTCCGGTCCAAGGAGAAGATTCAGACGTTGCTAGTGAAGATTCTCATCCGTTATCTCGCAAGCGAAAGGTAGCAGATACTGACTTGGCTCATTCACACACTGATACTTCTTTGTCTTGCAAGAAGCTCAAGTCCATAGTCAGTATATCAAATTTGGCGGCTGAATGGAATATGTCTTCCGATCAAGTTAAGCAAATTCTTGATGAAGCTAATCAAGCTCAGCTTCTAAAGAACATTGCTCAAGCTGATGAATCTCTCATTCAACATAAACTTCAGGCCAAAGGATCTTTTGAAGCTCAGATGCAGAAATTCTTGGAATTTCAGTCCAAATCTCAATCTTCTCAGCCTCCTCCTAGCAGCAGTAAGCCGAAGACTAACAGTGCTCTAGACAGGATTGATCGAAAGAGGTTTGAAGATATTGTCAAACAACGAGTGTGTGGTGATAAGATCATCAAAGTTAAAGCTTCCAAACCATGCAATGAGAAAATTCTTAAGTTACTGATCACTCGTCAAGGTCCACAGCATTCATACACTGAAGTTGTCAAGAGGGATGAGCTGATCAAATATGGATATTCTAAATGGATGGAATTGCTCAAATTAGCGTCCAAGCAAACCTCAGCTCACTCCTCTGAACTGACATGTGCTCTTCATCTGCTGATCAAGAAAGTTCAGCGTTTGGACCTTGTTCCTAAAGAACGACCTCAACATCAAGGCCAAAGGTCATCTGTTCCTAGAACTCGAAGAACAAAATTTCAAGTTGATTGTGAAGACGTGTTGGTTCTAGACTTTGGTGCTGGTAGGATAAACAATTCTCTTCCTATCAGTGTTGACCCAGTTCAACATAAGTTTATCTCAGTTCCTGAACACGGGATGTTCTATCTCGATAAAAACAGAAATATGTGTTTTCAGCGAACTGCTGAGATCCCAAAGGCTTCACCCACTCATCTCGTTGGCTTAAGGCAAATGTGCATGAGTCATCAAGATCTCTCCGGAGAGTTTCATATCCTTATCGCCATGGAGCTACTAAATAGAAGACAAGAGTTGCTGGATAGTCCTTACTGGCCAGTAAAAATAGAAGCTGAAGCTGAGTATGAAGAGTTCTTGTCCAGAGGTGTTTTAATTTAGTTGGTTTTGAACATCATCATATTGGGGGGGATTATAAGGTCAAACCTTGAAATATGATGATGTTTCAAATAGATCTCAGTGTCAGCATCAGCGTGTCAGCAGCTCAGCTTGTTTAGTTTAGTCAGTGCATTGTAACAGATTTTATACTTATCGTGTTTCCATAGTTAGTTTAAATTTGTTAGCTGGCATATCCCTGGTTTGTAGGGATTGTCTAGTATAGTAGTATATAATCTTTTGTATCGGTTTGTGAAACGCTACGCCTTTCACAAACCCTAATCGCTGCTTTGTGCACACGATAATCTCTTTGTGAGATTATCTTTCTTAGTGAAAGTTTTTCTTCATGAATTCTTCTTATTCTTATTTACTGTTATTGTTTGATAAATTGATTGATCTAAAGGCCTTTTCACAAAGTCTTTTTTGGGTTTCCCACATAACTAGAACTTGGTTAGAATGGTATCATATTTATAGAGAGAATGATTTATTAGATTATTATATGATTGATAAACTAATGACAAAATTTCACAATTGGTCCCTATGGTTTACAGAATATTGCACTTCGAGGACTTCCTAGCAAAAAGTCAAGCGACTGGTTCCTGTGGTTTGTAAAATTACATGAAAGGTTCTCCTACTGTTAAATCTAACTTTTTAGATGTTAGATTTTAGTGAAAAAGACTGTTTTGCCCTCATGCCAATATTGCAATACACTACAAACCTCAAGGACCATTTTTGTAATTTTCTAAATTTGAAATTTTGTATATATATAAATTATAAATATACATTTCCTATATATATAAATTATAAATATAATATATATATATATATATATATATATATATATATATATATATATATATATATATATATATATATATATTCAACAATTTGATGAATTTTTTTTTTATCTTTTTGACATTTAGTTTTCTATTTTTATTTTATAATTTTAGTTATTTATGGGTTTTTAATTTTTTTATTTATTTTGATTCAAGTAAATAAACTTAATTCGATAAACCATATTGAAACCTTTTTTTTTTCTTAATTATGAAATGAAACATTAATGTTTTTTTTTTAATTTTATGTTGTTGCGGTATTTTTTTTATTTTTTTACTTTGATGCATTATAGTTGATATCGTTAGCAACTTTATGTTTGCATTTATAATTATCATTATTTCAGTTTTTTTTTTTTATATTTAGTTATTTATTATTCTTCTATTGTTTTTATTTATTTTGATTCAAGTAATGAAAAATAGAAAAACAGAAAAATAAAAACTCAAACACCAAAGTTGTAAAATACTCTAATATATTAATACATTTTACACTTTTCATATTTTTTGGTTTTTTCGTATATTTTTTTTTATTAATTTTGGTTATTTATGGCTTTCGTAATTTTTTTTATTTGTGTTAATAAAAAAGTTATGCTTATTTTCCTTATTTATATTTGTAAATTTAACTATTTTATTTATACGGATCAAAATAAAAAAAAGTTACAAAAACCATAAATAATCAAAATAATAATAATAATAATAACCAAAAAAGCTCAAACACCATAATTGTAATATACTCTAATATATTCATACAAAAATGTATAAAAAAAAATACGAAAAAACCTAAAAAAGATGAAAATGTAAAATGTATTAATATATTAGAGTATATTAGAATTCGGTGTTTGAGTTTTTTTTTTGTATTTTTTATTTTTCATTATTTGAATCAAAATAAATAAAAACAATAGAAGAATAATTAATAATTAAAATTATAACAAAAATAGAAAACAAAAGGTCAAATAATGATAATGATAAATACAAACATAAAGTTGCTAAAGATATTAACTATAAAGCATCCAAAAAAAAAAGAAAAACATGAACAATTGATGTGTGTTAAACAAACTAGTTTTATCCTACTTTTTAAATATGAATTTGACACACAAAATGCAGTGAACCTGTCAATTGGTGATATAGTTGAATAAGTAGGATATGAAACTCAGGGAACGGTAATTAAACTAATAACTAAAATTAACTAAAACAAGTAATAAAAGTAAAAGGGTTTCTCTAGTTTTGCAAGACTAGAAACTTAGATAAACTAACTAACACGCAAATTAAATAACTAACGGCTAAAGCAAGTAAAAATCAACTAAATTCAATAATAAGAAGACTTGTGTTTAGGTTCGGTTTATCTACACCTATGGTTGATTTTATGGTAAGTGTAATGGATTAATTATTACTGGCTACCGATTAAAGTGATTAGGTTCACATTCGCTATTACCAATCCTTAGAAAACATATCAATTCAAACAATGGTCAATTGATTAAACTAATAAATTTCCTAGTTAATTATTCGACTTAAATAAGGCTTGTAGTGGTTAATTAAATTGGTCGTTCAATTAACCTCTTGTTGATCGTTTATCACACAAGCTCACACATTAATTTACCCATTTTCTAGTTAATCCTAGTTTCACATTCGCTATTCATAGGCACATAACAATGCTTTCACATAAATCACATGAGATAACAAATTAAGAGATGTTCATGCAACTTAATTACTTGATAATTAACAAAAAATAGTTATGGTTAATGTATAAGGTTCTTTAACAAGCCTAATAAAACTAAATTCACCAATAAATAATTAATCCAACCACAAATCAATCCATAGTTGTAAATTTTCCTACGCTAAACAGAAGATATAAAGGTTAGCTCATGATTATAGCAGAAAGCAACTCAAAAAGATGTCTAGTAGTTTAAACATGATTAAAACAATAGATAAAGTTGTTGGATCAGTGTCTAAATCCATAACTATTTTGGTATGTACTTGACCCGATTGTGAGCATGGTCCTTTTGGGTTTGCCTTCACCAAAGCAACTTGATAGGATGATTTGTGGAGAAAGAGATTAATTATGTTGTATTAATATGTTATATGAATAATATATTAAAGGAGAAATCATATTGTTTAATTAATATTAGTCAAGAATTAATTTTGTGGCTAAAAGACATTAATTAAATAAAGGGTACTAGAACTGTCAATTGTGTGATAGTTGGATATTGGGCTAATGAACTCCATAAAGGATGGAGTGGAAGAAATCTATGGGGAAACCCATGAGAATTTGTCCAAGGCCTTTAAGGAGGGAGTCCATGGGCTGCTTAGGGCCTAAGCAACCAGATTAGGGTTTCCTAGTTCAAAACCCTAATGGCCTCACTATATAATGACCCCTAGGGCACCCAAAAACGTGGCTAAGTGTTCCTTAGGATTTCTTGGACGTTTTTGGTGCCTCATTCTCTTCTTCTAAGTCGTCCTCTTGCTCTTGGTGCTTGTGAGCCATTAGAGGTGTGACATTTGTGACGATAAGCTTTCAGAAGCCAATTACAAGGAGGATTTTAGATTGTTATTGCTACATAACAATCAAGGTAAGGTCTAAACCCTATTCTTATGTTAATGTCGATTATCACATGCTATATCTAGGGTTTAAAGTCTTGGATGAATGCATATACAATAGAGAAACCTAGATCCAAGCATTAGGGTTTGCATGAGCACATAGAATGTTCTTATGGCCAAAACCCATCAGTGGTATCAGAGCCTTGATTGGTTTCTATTGTATTGATGCTTTGTGTTTCATTCATGCTTAGAAAATCGATTTTTTGCTCCTCTGACTGACAAACTCGTCGAGTAGGATGAACTCGGCGAGTCATGTTGTGAGAAAGAGGGATTCTTGGGATTTCATGCCTATTTTGCTGTGGGATAATTATCAAATCGTTTTTATTGATAAATTACGAATTTTATTGATATTGAATGATTATCCTTGCCAAAATAAAAGATAATTTCAAATTAATCAAATGTTTACTTCCTTATATGATAAATGTTAATTTTTTGGATTATTTGATCATTACCTTGCATGAAATTGAATTAGGTCATAATTAGATAATCACCAATTAATTGTTTAATTGCCTTAGTTGTATTTTGATCTAATCGTTTTGAAAAGGTTTCAAAACTTACCCTAGAGTTTTGGAATTTATATTTTAATTAAAAGTTTAATTTTAAAATGTTAAATTCTAAAACCCTAATTTTTGAAAAAGTTCAGATTGCACCCTTATGGTTTTATTAAATTAATTAAGTGTATAATTAAAAGAGAGTTAATAAATCCATAGTGATATGGTTTACATTTAATTAAATTAAAAGTGTAATTTATTAAATTAGACAACCTAGTATTTTAAAAGTGTAAAATCCACCTTTATACTATATATAACATTAAAAGTCTAGTATTATATATATATATATATATATATATATATATATATATATATATATATATATATATATGACTTAAACTGCTAGTCTTACCGTTAGTAGGCTTCATTCACGAAGTCGATCTATAATGGGGGTATACGGTTATGGCCTATAAAATGGTCGTTTAATGGGTGTCCACTCTCACCCACCGCTTCCTTGATTGGTGGAGGGTCGTTAGCCGAACGAGTAGGATAGGGCAAACCCTTTCCATTAAAAGTATAATGAATTATAAAGTAACTAAATGTTTTTACAAAATTTCTAATCTTAGTTACTTTAGGCAAGTGAATTTGATGCAATTTCATGAAATTACACTTTGTACCCTTGCTAAAACGTTAGTGGAGCGTGTGTGGTTAACCGACACACTAAATGAGTTCTAAGCAAAGGTAGCGAAGGGTGACTCGATGTTTGTCATAGTTTCATGGAGCGTGTGTGGTTAACCGGCACATCGAATAGGTGACTATAACATGGGGGGCACCATGTAAGTTTGCATGGTTATTCACACCCTGTTTTGTGATCCTCGGCATCCCAGTTACAAATCTAGGGGCATATCGAGATTTAAACATGCCATTGAAAAGTTCAATGAATATCAAAGGATCTAGGAGTTTTCAATACATTTAAAACTTAATCTCTTTTTTGTTTTTCATGGTGGAAAATTAGTGAATCGTCATTCACTTAGCTTTAAATGTTCTGCAATTTGGGTTACGACATCCCTCTCCCAAGTTGTAGAGTATTGTGTTGGGTCATAGCCTTAATATCTTATTTAGGTGCTTTATTAAGGACTCAGTCAATCAACTAACTTGAATTTTCACCCATTTTGTAGATGTCAAAGTATGACAATTATGGTCTTCCTAAATCCCATGGAACAAGCCTTCCATATGAAGATGATATTCCACGATTGGATCGAGGAACAAGAGATCATGCTTCACTTCCTCCACCTTCTCCTATTGTTCTCCCTAACCTACAAGTTTAAAGGATTAAAAAGTTCAAGCTCACTCAATCCCTTTTGGTAAGTAAACATGAAGAAGGAAAGTAAGTGTGTGCACACGTCTTAGAGATGAAGTTACACATTGATAGGTTAAGAATGTTGGGAGTCGTTGTCTGTTGACTGGGTTCTTCAGTCGCTTCCTAACTCATATAGTGAGTTCGTTAGAGAGTACTATATGATAGACCACGACGTGACCCTCATCGATCTCACTTATTTTCTTCTTGCTGTTGAATCAGCAATGATTTGGCGCACTGGAGAAGAAAAGTTGATTGGTGGATCTACCTTACAAACCTCTATGGACATAGGCAATAGCAACGAAAGGCATGTCATGGTCGAAAACTTTGATCATACGAGAAAGGAAAAGTCTGAAGTAGTTCCGTGT